GTTTTTGGAAACTACATACCACGAAATAAATAAATGTGAGAAGGGACGACTATTTGATCTTGACTACTCTTTATGTTGTGTTACGTCGGCTAGTTCTTTTTAACCTGAATAGAAGAGAGGAAATATTCTACTTTGTTTTGATTGACTCTAAATCTGTCTCCATTGTCTGCATTGCTGAAGACTCATTACATGTTTCAACTTTTTGGTGTATTTTTTCTCATTTTATTTGGTAATTTTTGAAAACGGAGGAGAAAGTTACACACATCTAATTTATTGTTCGATGCTCATCAACTAGTCACAGTACTTTTATCCCTTTTTTAAAACATTTTTTTTAGGTTGCAGCTCTCGCTGCATTAGTCGGAATGGATGAAAGAAAACGATTGAATGGCGAGTGGGAGGAGTAATAAATAAAGGGCATAAAGCCATTACCGTTAAAGTTTGATTATTCCGCGTGTATAAGAAAGATTGGAAATTATAGTGGAAAGTCTTACGATTAACTTTTTTCTTATGGGTTTAGTGATTGTATTTTCTACTGGATGGAAGTTAATTTGAAGTTTTTCTTGGCCGCCCAAACAAATGTATTTTGGTAGCATAATACTTCAAAAATTTATTGATACAATTCCTGGCTCGAATTAAGGAACTGGTGTCGACACAAGTGAACGGAATCGCAATTTGAAGCACTCTGCCGATGTTTTAGTGAGGTACGTTGTAAAAGCAGTCCGCATCGCACATCTCAGATTAGATATGCGTAGTTTTTTTGTTTGCTCTGCACAGCAGCCCCTGTAAGTCTGAACTGCTTGTCTGCTTCATTCTACATGAATGCTTTTTGGTTTAATGTTTGGATCTGTTGTCCTCTTGGACATCGAAATAAATTTCTCTTTTCAATTAATAGAAGTACGACTCGTAGGCATACCGTCTTAGACAGTTTTGAGCCGAAGTATTTCACTGGATAAGTTCTAACTTCAATCAGTTACATGGATAATAAACCAATAGGCATGGGATAATAACTGTAGAGAACCCAAGTCGATTTAGAGAAGCTAATATAAATTTTTTAATATTTACATCTACGTAGAGGTGCAGCATCTGAAAAATTAAATGACGTGACGTTGAATTAATTAGTTGTGCATACATATACCTCCGTCCCAGTCTTATAATTGCAAGGCAAAAGAACCTAAATAAATAGCAATGATTAGGTACCCCACTTCCCCTTAGAACATTATTGTATCATTGCTCACCCCGCTTCAGCATTGCAACCGGATTGCTGCCGGCAACATCAGTAGCAGTACAACAGTAATTGTATTCTTGGGAACGGTCATGTGCCGACACATGCTAGCCTCAACCCAATTCCAATTTCCCTGACAACCAGCAATTTGACATTTCAAATGATCAGAAACAGCATTGGAAATTAGTGCGCAAAAAATCAAATTTTGTAATGAGCAAAGTAAGACGGCCAACTAGTCGTTAAGAACTGTAAGTTGGAAGAGGAGGCTCCTGGTTCGTTGAAACCGTTATAAATTTAATTAAGGTAACAATCAATAGTTAATTAACAAGTGGTAGGCACAGTTTCAAATCCACAACAGATCACACTGTAATATGCAAGCAATCATCCAGGAAAAAGAATTTGAAACGAGGGGAACTAGTGAAAAAGATGCACTGAAAGGGGAGATATCTTCAAGTTTCATACGCTGGTGCAGGATGCTCTCCTATTTCGGTATTAATTTGGCAATCACAGAAGCAGTGATAGGATGCATATAACGAGCATTCTCTTGGAAAAGGTGTATCGCCTTACCAGCGCTTTCGGTCCAAAGAAATAGCTTGCTAAAAATCAAAGGCTATTATTTTTAACCTTCAAACTGTTGTTCCTGTGTTCAGAAGACAGCTTAAACCTCATAGAAAAAAAACCTGTAAAGCGGACGAACAAATTTCAATCTGCCCTGAGAAGAAACAAATTTAAAAGCCAAGGGCAGGATTTCTTTCCACTGGGCTTTTATTCCTATTTCTATCCATCTGTACAGTATTTCGCTATTTCCAGTTTTCGAGAGACCATATAATGTTTCCAATTTTTTAAGCTTTTCGTGTTCCAGAGCATCTGCCTAAAAATACGGTAGTTAGCTGAATGTTGAGTATTATACCAAAGTTGGCATTCACTAGTTATCAAGAAAGATTAATTTCTTTTAGCGTCAGTACCCCACGAATGTAGTCTAGCATTTTTATTTGTTGATGCGGCGAGAGGCTTTTGAAGGAAGAAGCTTCAAATTTCTCCAGATCAGAACTCTCTGCTTTCATCCATTGATTTGCTAAATCACGTGCTGCTGTCAAAAGACGACCGTCGTAGCTAAACAAAATCCGATTTTTATCTCTGTAACTCAGAGAAGGACTTCAAAGCTGCTATTTACTATTGCACTAGACAAAACTTGTGATAAATTGGCAGTAGAGTATCCAGAAAACCATAAACCTTGGCTTAACTGGAGGAACTCCAGGAGAATATAACCAACCATCCCAGTCCACAGAATCAAGGATTTCTTTCTTGTCTTCAAAACTGTGGTATAAAAATGATTTCCAATGAGAAGTGAGGATGGATTTATAGGCGTACTTCTCTACGTAAGACCTCAAAAATTTCTCGAACCTTGTGACATCGCCTAGCTGTTGCTCAATGTACATCAGGAAAGCTGAGCCCTAGAAGCAAAGAAATAACTAATTCCATGCAAACGTAGTCAAAGAAATTCCCTAGGTATTCAGCAACTACTTCGTGAAGATACCCACAGAAAGATACAAAAGACTGGAAAAAAAACAGTGAAAGAAATTGCTGAAAGCGCTTTGCTTTGGGAAAATGTGGTTTCAGTAATCCTTTGAATTTCAGATGCGAGAAATTAAATCCGTTTGTATAAACTTACAGTTTTTTGGTATTAGGAATACTCATGTAAAACGATAGCAATTTAGTAAGTTCTTGAATGGGTTAAAATTAATTCTTATGCAATAACGGCAAACTGTACACAGTCAGTAAATCGTTCACAAAAATCCTTACTTTTTCGTACGGGATTGTTGAAAATACGTCATCAGGATCTATTCCTTGAAGAGAAGGAATTAATTTAGTAAACGGATGTTGATCACTGAACCGTTCTTTTACGCAGCGTAACAACTCATCCTAAGCAAGGGCGCGTAAAAGACTTGCCCAAAGTCTACCACAGGAAGCCAGCAAAAAACTTATTTCGTTCATGGTGTGCCATCAGTGGTCAGCACTTTAAATAGACATACACTACCACATATTGAAGAATAGTCCTAAAAGCTAACCTCCCAACCAGTCTGAGCGTCAAACTGCCTCGTTTCTTCACCTTTCAAACGTCCAAGAATCTTTCGTTCCAAAAACACAGTAAATCCTTCATTCAACCTAAATGTTTCTTTATTTTCCAATTAAAAGTTTTTCCACTTTCTAACTAGCTCTCAAGCCATTCCTCCTCTGAAACACTGCATACTCGTACCAGCTCTTGAGCACTTTGGTCTCTTAAGGTATGTAGTAATACCTCTTAAGTCAATTTAAGGAATAAATAACTGAGAACTTTATTAAAAAGGAGATCAACACGCTATTTTAAATCAATAAAGTCTTGAGGATATCCTTTTCTTACTGCTACAACCTTAATTTAATAAAATGTTTAAAAGACGAAAACTAACTTTACAGGTTGTTAAAAATGTTTCAATCCACTTCTACAAAGAATTTATGGTAGTGGTAAGGAGAAAAGGTAACATAAACATAAAATTATTTGAAGAAACCAGAAATGTTCCCAGTTAGCGTTTGTTACAAGATTTCCAGTCCAGCTGTGCGCAATTTCATGCGTAATGACATTGGCAAGAGACTTGTCACCAGCTAGTAAAGTCGGAGTCACAAAAATCAAACAGGGATTTTCCATGCCACCAAACGGAAATGACGACGGCAATACGACCAGATCACATCTAATAAATAAGCCATCAACAGGAACTAAACAGTAATATAAATCGATAGACAGCAAAAGGTATACTTTGCGAAAGTAGCGATTAAGTTTGTCTCTGCCGAAACGAAGAAAAGGAAGAATTACCGAGTTTACAAAGACGAAATACCAGACCAAACAATTTACCTGCCCCAAACATACTTGCCGACTAAGCTTTCAGCGGCCTTTAAAAACTCCTCAGTTTCAGAGAACTCAAAATGCGCTTTATCAACAACGGATGGCTCAGACCAAACAGCGCACCGTTCGCTTATATCCCTTTTTTCAAGTACGCCAGCTACAATAGCTATTAGGTAAGAAGGTATAGGCACTGGCTGATTAAATCTAAAAGTGACGTGATTTTCTTCTTCTACTGGAGCACCATTCGCGATTGCGCTCATTAGACAGACCAGTCCTTTGGGCACACGGACCTGAAATTCCAGTCATGGCTTAAAACTCTCCTACTAAAAAAGGAACGTTGTTTCTCTTTTAATAAAGATTGCCCTATAAGTTTATATATATATATACGAAGCGGCTAAAAATACCTAGTAATAGATATTTTACGATTTGTAACGCTACCTCAGCCTCATAAGTTTGCTTAACTGATGGAGTATCCATGCACGGAAGTAAAGAACGAGCATGAATGGACTGACATTGACTATAAAGGTACGGTCCTTTCTTATCTTCAGTTTGATCAGCTGTTAAAAACAAAAGAGCGGTGCAGTTTTTCCCTTCACCAGTTGCGTACTCAAATACTACAGAACTGGAATTTGTATTTTGGTCAAAACAGTTCGATAAAAAACAATCCCAAAAGGATTGAAAGATTTATAAGAATAATCTCCTAAACATCTATCAGCCAAATACGACTAACAAATCAATTTAAAAAGCAATAATTGTATTAAAAATAGCCAAAGATATCATTTAGGATTTATGCCGCCAACAGATGAAAATTTTTCTACTGCTTCGCTATTTTCAGAAGCAGTGTTATGTCAGTCCGCTAATATCAACCTTTTAAATTACAGCAGGTGTACTAGTTGTGAAAAAGCTTCACAAAGACTAGCACACCAACTCCTTTGAACAAAAAAGTAGCTAAAATGCAGCTTATGATGTTTCTTCAATGAAAAGTGGTACCAGCATTCAACTACAAAACAAAAGTACTCATGTTGAACGCTGCAAATTTCCCAGAATTTCTTATTCATCTTCTTGTTTGAGACTTGACAGCTGATGTTAAACATCTCGAAAGGTCGCTTCCGATTATCCAAAAATCATTAGTTCCCACTAGATCTTTTTTAATTAAAAGTAGCTAACACTGTCTCGCCGACCACACGACTGCCAACAAAAACTGTTATCTTCTCGCCCAAGATCCCAGTATCCTCCACGTCAAATTTCACTGGTTTGCCGTTTGAGCTGACGCTCTTAATTTCTAAGCCACGACTGTCAAAGACCTGAAATAAATTCCACAGCAATTTTATCTCAGTAACCGGTTTGACCAAAGCTTTGCAAGCGATACCAAAATATTTGTTGGATCTATAATGTCCACATCAAGAGAAGCAGTTCCAAAAATTCTTCGTTTATCGAAATCGACATCCCAGCGCAAAAAAATTTTTTTTACTACAGCCTTATCAATATTGGCGTTCGAAGATGGGTCCCGCATTCTGCAAGTTGCCGTTGATGCTAGCATGAAAGTGTTATAAAACAGGAGCGAATTCATCGATAGTAAAATAACACAGTACAATGCAAAATCTATAAAAATAACCCTCTAATAAACTTAAAAAACTTGAATAACAAATAACCATTGCAAAAAATCACAGAAAGGAAATGACTAGAGAATGCCAGCCTTCTTTTAGCTATTTTTTGCAGGATTCAATTAACCAAGGAAAGTTGTTTTATTGTCAAGTAAGAATTAAATCACTATCAAAAAAATTTCGGCGAAAGAAATACACAGAATGAATCATACACAATCATCAATGTCGCAATATAAACAACAACTTCTCATACATATGCCGTTCAAATACAGAATTATCAAACAAATCGTTGATAAGTCCGAAGGGTGCACTACTACTTTTCAAACTGTACTACCAAGAGATACAAAGTTTCCGATGTTTAGGACTTCCTAATAAGATAGAAAATTTTAATATCTGGATGGCAATAAACTGGATCCAATTCATCTTTCTTAATTTCTTCAACAATATACTCATTTTGGATGAGGTCGAAAAAAATTCGCTGAGCAGTCTTAGGTTCACCAATGTCACGTATTTCATAGGCACATAGAATTCGAGAAAACTTAATACCCTTAAGGGTTCTAGCCAGATCTTCAACGCCCTTAAAATAAAAAACAACTGAGTCGGAAGCAGAATAAACTTCTTGAAGACCGGGAAAAATCGCAAAGTTTGTCAATGCGGAACTTGAAAAAAAGATAAATATCTGGGCTATATGCTGCAACTCAGCTAGAAACAAACCTTTACGTAATAAAACGCGTCAATTAGAAAAATTTCGTCAAAAACATAACTCCCGCTGAGCGTCTTGCTCCAGTTCAACTCTTGTACATTTACTTTTCCGTTATTAAGGCTAATAACTTCTTCATTAAGAGAAACATTTTTCTGAATCAAATCCAGCCTATTTGCCGTGTCGGTAGCTACAACTTTAGCACCGAATGAAGCCGCTACAATGCTGCAAACACCTGTACCTGCACCAAGTTCCAGTATCTAGAAAGAAGAAATAAATGCTAGAAAATAATCTCATGAAATTCACATCTTAAATAGAACATTATGTTACAGTATCAGGTGCAACAAAAGTGGCTTCACCAGTCGAAACGTTTTAAAAGACAGAACCTAATACCTTACTCATTGCTGGAAAAAAAAATGTTTTTATTCAAATTGATCATCTAAGAGCTTTATGCAGAAAAAAAAGAGCTCACTAGCGCTCAAAAAAAAAAAAGACAGGAGCTGGTGCTTACAATGTTACGTAATTAACAGGATAAAAAGAAATAACTTTTAATGCTGAGTCTCTCCGGCCAAACAACTCCATAAAGTGTGAACAGGCAAGATAATAAAAACAAATAAAGTGAACAACCCGTTTGTTACTAATCTTAAACGGACGTCACAGTGATAAATTAAACTGCCAAAACAAGGTTTTGTGCTTTTCCTAATACATTAATTCAGACGCTGATAAAGTTGATATACAATGCTCAATTTATTTTCTTTAAAAAAAAATAAGGACTGAACTTCTTTACTTATTTACCAAATAATTCCAAAAACGTTTAGAGAAGTCATTCCATACCTTTTTTTCTTTCCACGCGTGACTTCTCCGTGCAATATAGTAAGAAGCCACGAGTGCACTATCCCATACCACACCACCAACGTCACTTTCTAACTCCTGACAAATATTGATTTTAAATACATCCAAATCTAGTTCACGCATGAAATACTTCGTTCCTTCCATGTTACTATCAGTGTAGCGACTTTTACGTTCTTTTGTTACAGGACAGCGCACGTTTTCCTTCACAAAAAAGGTCTCCCAATGTCACCTAAACAGCCACATTTATCGGCCCTCAACTGATAAAAAAAAAGTTAATGTATTTTCTAAACTTTTTTAGAGCTAAAAACCAATTTTAAGAATTAAAAATATCCCCTAAAACTGAAACCTAATTTCACGCACTGTAAACATTTCTTCAGCGGTCAACGCTGCAAACGTGGTATAAACATTACAGGTTACAACTTTTTGCATTCGTTAGTCGAATCCACTACCAGAAAGAATGAAAGCTAAAATTCTGGAAACGAAGTTCGGTCAAATTACCTAATCCGTGCTGTACCAGTCAAAAGTGCCCCACCATCTCTTCCACTGAAAAAAAAAAAAAAAA